ATCAAAAAACTATTGCAATGAAACAGACTAAAATATGACTGATATGAACATGAAATACCGGAAAACCTTCGATCTTTTCAAACACAATGTGGTAATCACTCAAATTATGCAAAAATTTCATGTTAAAATTTTGAATGAAAACTTATACTTTCGAAGTTCTAACGACTTTTGACCCGCAGTAGACGAGAACAATACCACTAGAAAATATGCCAGATTAAAGCCGATAATGCAGTGTGGATGCAAAATAAAAAATGTATCACTGAGAACGAGATGAATGCTTTTCCTTCATGAAACTTCTTCAAAATACAAAATATATCTTTCAAATTTTCGTTTGCTTTCTGTGAAAATCTGCAACTAATAAATTAAAGGTATATTTATTCGAAAATGAAGTAATATACACAAACGCAAAACACGAGATTACACGAATTGCCAGTTACTTATGTAAGTATTTTTTTATGTATCAAAAAAAGATAAAACTTCCAGATCCACATAGATATGGAATCTATAAACAATAAAGGATATTAATAAAAGTTGGGAATTCATCTAAAATCTGAGAGATAAATTAGGACTAGGAAATATCCAAGCTAATATAAAAATATTACTGCTTCACTACTTTAAATCTTAAAAGCAACACTGAACCAAATGAACTGTGAATCTAAATAACTGATTGCAATAAAAACTTAGCAAGTTCGACACTTTCAAAAATATCTTAATGTAAAGAAAATAGACTAGATCCTATGAATCTATCTTAATATAAAACTTCATCTTAGATCGTTATAAGGAGTATATCTGCGTTAATTCGTAGTAATACATTACATGAGAAACAGCATTATGAGGTGCACGATTCTTTGAAATCGCTCTACTAATCTAAACGCAATCACTGCAACTAAGGATAAAGAATACCAATAGAATAATGAAAAAATGTATACGTTCTTGATTCCATAATCACCAAAATGTATGAATTACAGAAAAAAAGAAAACATTTATTTGAATAACATTAGTAATTACAAATATTACAAGATATAAGCAAAATATATTGATGAAAGCACAATTTGTTCTGTATATAAAAATGAAAATGGCACTACATTCAGTTACAATTCATGGAAAAATGACGAAAACCATAGAGAAAGCTCTTGAAAACATTTCAGAAACTGAAGGGTGCTGACAAATAATTGAAAATTTGCATGTCAAAAAACAGATTTTAAATATTTGCTTAATAACAAAACTTTCAATAATTGCTTAAATAAAGCAATCAATGGATGCAACCAAGCCTAGAGAGCACTGGAAGGGAAACATATCAACAACACACAATTTAGCAAAATCAGCTTCGTTTGAATGTATTCACAAATTGGATTTAAATGAGTCTCATTGGGTAATCAAACGTAGACATTGAATGCAAGGATAGATTTGACTCACATCTAAGACAGACTAATTGATGCAATCAAGTTGGAAAAGTAAATTCTGAACAATGATACGAAGCAAAATGAATAGACAGATAAATGAAGAAGTGAATAAAAAATAATCCCAATTTGAAATAAACAACAAAATAAGTGAAAATGACGACAAAAACTTATATAACTAAAATGACTGATATAAGACTTTTCTTGACAAATAAATAATGCACAATTTGCTCCTAAAAGTAATAAAAATTTATGAAAAAAGTTCAATTTATCAATTATACACAGGTTTTTTTAACAAATCTCTTTCAAAATGTTCAGCTGTCATTGTTCCAAGCAATCTTTCACATCGAGGATTAAATACAGAATAAGCGCTTAAATCACCTGGTTTTCGCTTTTCCATATTAATAAACAAAATTACAAATAAGGAGAAAATAAAGAAAACAAGACCAAACTCGATATAAATGAAGAAGATCTGTGCTACAAACCATGAAAAAATTGCAGAAACCATGCATATGTGCGGCCACCGTCCATAAACAAGTGACCATAGCTCGAATGGTACTGATAAAAGATTTACAAGTTTGTTGAAGATACAGAATAAAGCAAATGAAACACAGCTAATTCTGGACTGTTGCTTACTGGCTTCATCAACAACCACTACCTGTAATGTCTGAAAAATTAAAATGATAGAGACTCAATTTTTAATAATTAGTAATTTGAAAGAAACCTTTAGAAAAATGAACTCAAAACTGTCAAGCACTGTTACGGTACAATATCTGTTATCACTGTATACTTAATATCCTACATGACTTTCTACTCTTTCTACCAAAAGATTTTGCAGAAAATTTCACAAATATTCTACATTTTTCTGTATTCTACAATACAGAAAAACACAAGCGATTTTTATAGTCCACAAGAAAGTTGACATTACAGTTCACATACCTCAAACTAATACTGCCTTTACAACTAAATGATATCCTTAGACTGAAAAAATTTTCCTTCCACTGCATGAATTGAGTGCAAGCGTTTCATAGACTAGTCTCCAGCAAAAAAAAATGTCAAAACTGATTATATTTTGTTGCCATATGAAAATTGGACACGAATCACAAATGTTTTAAAATGGAAGCTATCGAAATCCAACTCGAAAATTTCAATACTTACCTTAACAAGACTGAATAACTTAAATACCTATTTTATATATCTAATTTTTGTTCTTCAGATATAGCGCACTGTTTGAAAACAAATCATTTTTGTTTTTGCTGTAAATTTAAATCATAATTTGTGATTAAAAATGCCATGAAAAACTTCTGACAAACTGCAGGTAGTTGTCCATTTCGCTTCGAAACTCATACTTATCTTAGTACTTGTTTCAGCACTCAAAAATAAATACTGTTTGATATGTAATTCAATTCTTCAAATTCTGATTTATGCAAAAAACATAAGAATACTTACAATACCTGCACTAAAAATAATACAACTTAAAAAAAATTTGAAATAATTAATTATGAATATAAATTAACTGATCATTAAAATAATTAATTATAAAAAAATTTAAATGACTGATTTTATCTAATTTTTGAATAAACTTATTTTTAGTAAAAAAGTATTTGGAGAACAATGTAATACGAAACGCTTTAATAAATAATAATATTAACCTTCTTAACATCAATACTACTGTTTCTCCTTCGATATTCCAATAACCTATCTTCCACACATTTCATTATTTATGCTCTGATCAGTGATTACAATCGACCGATACAGCAATCACTACTCAAAGTAAAGATCTGAGAATAAATAATAATAAATTATAATTTATTCAGTGCACATACTCATTGCATTTCTTATAAACACGGCTTCAAGATGAAAATTGCAAATCTCATGCAGTTTTTTCTTTTTTTACATTTGTAATTTTTATTTTTTTTTCACAAAAATATCATCAAATATTTTTATTTTCACCCTTTTTATCTGCAATTTTTATTCTATTTTTTCTGAAATAATGGCAAAAACTTTGAGTGGTATTCAAAATTGTAATTTTTGTTACTTTTAGTTGTTATTTTCGTCCTCATAATTTTATTTTTTACTCTTCAATTTTCATTTTTTAATTCATAGTTTTTAAGTTGTAAAAAAATTAAACTATCGTAGAACTTGTTTGTTTCTTCAAAACAGTTTCTTTAATAACTTTTTTCTATTTTTAATTTTTTTATTTTTACTTTTTAAAATGAAATAATAATTTTTTTCTGATAGCAATATGAAAGTGTGCGTGCGTTATTCAAAACATTAAATTTTTTTTACGTGCTATCAGCACTCACGCCAATAATAAATTTACACATTTAAAGCCAACAGCAAGCGGGGCAAAAAAATACATAATGATTTACAGAAAAAATAGTTTCTTTTAGAGTAATAGTTTTTTGCAATTTATAATTACTTAAAATCCAAATTGCTT